AAATGAAAGCGTTTACAATGAAAGTGATTTGCGATCGCAAACAGGAATGGATTGAACACATCCGACATAAAGACAACTTCGATATGGAGACCAAACCATTGGACTCCTTAAAGGATTCAGACTTTTTCGCGGGAAAGAAGAGATTAGCATTTCTTGATTTATTACTTCACCAGCATTTGGTGGCAAATACGCTGACACTGGAGGACCTGCGCGAAGAAGTCGACACATTTATGTTTGCGGTTTGTCTTCATATTTGTTCACTAATGGGTTGTCTATTTACTTAATATACCGTACATTCTCCACACAATCGACATAAGTATGACATAAGCTTATTCTGTGTCAACACTGAAGTCAATATTTAATGATTTCTTATATAATATTAATTAACAGAAAAATATTTCTGATATTTTTGTCAATATTTATACAAAAATTTATGTATTTTTCGGTTTAATTATTTCATACATTCTTCTCTATACTAACCTTTTGACCGTCGATTCAAGTGATGGATGACTAATGAGTAGTCAAACGAATAATAAATATATAAACTTTTATATCTCTTTCACTGCGATTTAATCAATAATAAGGGCACCGGTAGTTATAAAAGGTTTACATGGAATAAGCATATAACATAAGCTAATTAATTTTAATGTATCATAAAATTTGGCATAAAAACGGATCAAAATCTTATTGCTAAGGAATCTAAGCCCATATCCGAGGCAACCTCCCACTGCTCCCTATACTTCCCATTCTATTACTCTATCAAATCCTATCTATTTGTTATGTATTAATGTTTGTGAGTAATTTGTATTAGTATACAGGGTATATTAATTTGTATTAGTATACATGGAATATATATTCAATATTTTCTGATTATTTGTGAGAGAGAGCCTTTGATGCCCTTATTATAAAGTCTAATCAAATCAGGGCTTCTCATATGAAATTCAATCAAAAATAAATCCGTATTTTATACATTTTATTTTTCAGTTTCATTTTCAATTATATTTTCTAAGCTCCAAATGCTCTATATTTGAGGTCAACATATAGCATATGAATAAGAAATTGCACAAAAAACTTATACTCAAGATTGAGATGAAATAATTATATGATGCATAAGATGTCAGATATAATGAAATTATTTAATGATAAGGCAATGAATGATGTGTTTAGGGACACGACACGACTGCACAGGCCATCAGTTGGACACTATATATGTTAGGACTTCATCCGGACATACAGACACGAGTGCGAGAAGAAGTCGATTCAATTATGGACTGCCATTCCGATGACGAGGACTGTAGCCTCGATGACCTCAAACAGTTGAAGTACTTGGAGTGTGTGCTGAAAGAAGTGCAGCGCCTGTATCCGACCGCACCATTCATTGGTCGCGAGTTGAGTGAAGACACTTACATAAGTAATTCATTTGTAGACATAAATTAAG